AAAAACCTTATATTTAATTGCACCCTGAGCTGAGCTGCTGGCACGTACTGAAAGTCTGAAACATCAACGGAGACGGTCCCACCCACAACACAGACAACTTGCTGCTCTCCGAAGTCCGACCTTTTGTTCTTTCCTTCTCACCAAATTCATCTCTTTCGTGAAGAATTCAACTAACAACTGACCTATTCAATTCAACCCCCTTTCATCAACTCCACCGAACAATAACCCGTCCCATGATGTTTTTCTTTTCCCTCTTTCACTAAAAAGCTCGATCTATCTTTTTAATCTCTCAGCAGCATCGGCCATGACCATTTCCCCTGTTCTATTGCTCTTCTTTGTCCTCCTCCCAGCTTCATCTTCTCAGCCCGTCAGAGGTAATATATATATATATATATATATATATATAGAGAGAGAGAGAGAGAGAGAGAGAGAGAGAGTGAGAGAGAGAGAGAGAGATTTGTGTGTGTGTGTGTGCGTTTTTCTCCTCTATTGATTTCTGATTGAATTTAAGCACGGCCCTTTTGAAACCTTGTCTAGATTTTATCTGGGTTTGTCTTGTTTCCCAATAAAAGTTCGATCTTTAATGTTTTCCAGGCGGTTTCTTGCTCCATTTCGAAAACTGAACTGATTCTGTATTTGCCGCAAATTTCTTTCACTGCAGGTGTGTTCATTGACTGTGGAGCTGATTATGGCTCCACAATCAACGGCCTGGATTGGGTGCCAGACACCTCCTACATATCCACGGGCACATCAAGAAATGTCATACAACCGGGTCTCATCTCAACTCTTTCCACCGTCCGTACGTTCCCTCTCGATAACACCATTTCAAGAAAATTCTGCTACGAAATTCCAGTCGACCGGACTCAAAAGTATTTGGTCAGGACAACTTATTACTATGGTGGGGTGAATGGAAACGTAAACCCACCCGTTTTCGACCAAATAGTTGATGGGACCTTGTGGAAGGTAGTGAACACGACCGAGGATTACTTGAGTGGGAATTTAAGTTATTACGAGGGCATATTTATGCCGACGGGTAAAAATCTTAGCGTGTGTTTGGCTGCGAATAGGTATACGGATTCGGACCCTTTCATTTCGGCTCTTGAGGTTGTGCTCTTGTGGGATCAGCTGTATAATTCGACCGACTTTAGAGCTTACGCCTTAAGTTTGGTGGCGAGGCACAATTTTGGGTATGATGGGGATGTTATAGGGTGAGTTTTTTTGCTTCCTTGTTGCCTTTTCCATATCTGTGCTTTCCAAGTTTTTGATTGATGGTTTATCAGTGGAAAAGTTGAAGGAATAGTTTAGATAGTGTGTTTCTTAGTTTTAGAACAGTTTGCTCGTTGTATATTTTGGAACTAAAATGCTAAAGGGATTTCATGTTATCTTATCAAAATTAAGCTGATGTTGTCCTAGGTAGTTATCATTTGTAGTGGTCTAATGAACTCGTAGTAGATCAATTGATTTTCCATAGAAAAACTAAAGTCGTTTCTTCTTTCTTCCAGTTCAAAATTGACATTGGCTTTCTTTCCCCTTCAATTGTCCTGCTGCATAATCCCTGCATTAACCTTTTCCCTCAAAACAATCATTTTTGCTTCCCTTTTCATCTCACTTTAAAAAAATTATATAATAATCAAAATGACCAGATACCCGGATGACCAGTTCACTCGCTATTGGGAGCCGTTTGGATTGGATGCATTTCCACAATCTACTCCACGAAGCCTTGATGTATCTGACATCTGGAATTTGCCCCCTCCGATTGTTTTCCAAACACGTCTTGCAAGAAGCCTAGTCGAGCCCCTCACCTTACTCTGGCCTCCCTTTTCTCTACCAAGCTCGAATCATTACTACATTGCTCTTTATTTTGCGGACGATCGAGTTTCTTCTACAGGGAGCCCAAGAACAATGGACATAACCATCAATGGTGTTACTTATTACAGTAACTTGACTGTCTTGCCAGATGGCATGGTTGTGTTTGCAAACCAGTGGCCACTTGGAGGAATTACGAATTTAACCCTGAGCCCAGCTCCTGGTTCGACTTCCGGCCCTTTGATTCATGCGGGTGAGATTTTCCAGGCTCTTCCTGCAGGAGGGAAAACTCACACACGAGACGGTATGTTCTGCTTCTATTTATTTTATTTTCTTGGGTTCCTTAAAAACAATAAACATTATAAAGGGATTTAAATTTGAGCATCTCTCATATTTCCGTTTTTTCGTTTCTATTTCTATTTGAACCTTAAAAGAGTACACTTAATGGCACATGGGCCTGAAATAGACCAGAACTTTTAATTCAACGGCATTCATTATGTCAATCCTTTTAGGAAATGTTTTCTGCAGAAGCGAGAAGCGATAGAGAAACATGAATTGGTAATGTTTGCAGATTAGAGCAAAAATGCTAAATAAGTTAAAGAAGACTATGGTGAATAACTTACAAACCTTACCTAAATTTATAAAATGAACTCGAACCCATATGCAGATATTAGAGAATCAATAGCACCCTCCTTAAATTCCAATCACTTTTAGATTCTGATTAGGTCGTGCAAAGTTAGAATTGCGGTTCTCTCTTTCAAAACACTAAAAGCTACTTGATATCTATATATTTTATTTTTGCTTCAATATTGATGCTAATTTAGTTCGTATGGTTCTACATTATTGTTTTTCCTTGCAGTAATTGCTATGATAAGCTTGAGAGAAAGCTTCCAGAACACTCCACCCGACTGGAAAGGTGACCCGTGTCTACCTAACCGATATCCATGGACTGGGGTTACTTGTTCTGGTGGATCTCGTATTCGCGTAATCTCTTTGTAAGTAGGATTTTACCAATAATATTAATATATTAGCATATTCGTGCTTGAACTTGACTCATCTTTTTTCGTGTTATCTGCAGAAACTTGACAAGTATGGGTCTTTTGGGGTCGATTTCGCCAAGTATCGCCAGGCTTACAGCACTGAGTAGCATGTGAGTGAATGTATTACAATAATTATCACATTGATAAATTTTTGTTGCCTTTAATTTTTGCCATTCTCATGGACGTTAAAAGCTTCTTGTTGTTGTATATCGGCAGCTTGCTTGGAAATAACAGCTTAACAGGAAGTATTCCAGACTTGAGTACATTGAGGGCATTGCAGAATTTGTGAGTTATTATATGTTGTCCTTTTTTAAAGATTTTGAGATGAGTTAGTAAAGAGAATTTTGTAAGAGGAGAATTAATTTTTTTTTTTTAAATGATTCTGGCGAAATGGATATTATAAGCTCTCAAACAGATTTCTTCAGAATCGTCGCTGTTAAGAAATTTGCTAATCAATTTTTTTTTTTTTACAACTTAAGCTCACTTCATTAACAAATAGATTATAGATGTTTCTAAAATTAATAAGCTCAACCAAACATCTCTTTCAGATCTAAAAGAATTCAGATGACTAATTCGGCACCATTTGTTATGGTCAATGCCATTTAAACTATAAACTTATATATTCCTTTTTTTTCGCTTTTCCTCCTTTTTTTTTGTTTTTTTTTTCTCTAATTTCCACCATTTTGTGTATGTCAGGCATTTGGAAAACAATCAGCTAGGTGGGACAATACCTCCATCACTGGGAAGTTTAACCAACTTACATGAACTGTAAGTTCTCATCGAAGAAGTTTCATGTTCAAGTAGAAATTTCTTGTTACCCCCACTCGATAAATGATCGATTTGAATTTTCGAGGAGAATAAATTTCATTGTAAATTGTCTCTGTCGTATTCCCATTTCTACTGCACTTGTAAATCATGTTTCTCTTCTTTGTATTGCATTTTGGCTCATTTGTGAACCAGGAAAACTTCAATACACATCTAAAAATGCATTATTTATGCCCTTGGGAACATATTAGTTTCAATCATTAATTTTTTAATCTCTTGTGCATATTTTCGATCTAGAAATCCAATCATTTGCCCGTAGCGAAGAAATCTTCTCATGCCTTCTCAATTGAATATGACATTAATTCTGATTTCCTCGGCATATAATTTTTTTTTTTCCCATTTTTTCTAATCATACCTCATTTTTCTTTGATCAGCTTCCTACAGAACAACAATCTAACAGGTCAAGTACCTAGCAGCCTTACCCAAAAACCTGGATTAACACTAAGGTAACTTTCTGTAGAGCTAATAGTTGTTCTTTTCATTCTCGCGCGTTTTTTTTTTTTATTTTTTTTTTCTTTTCCCTTTACTTTTCCTTTCAAATTTTGGTGTTTAATTGATTGAAACTCTACCTTCTTAGGTACACACCTGGAAATCCATTTTTGGCTCCATGACACATATTTAAAGATATACTCAACTATTTATTTTTTGCGAGTCCTGCTTCGTTTATGTTAATTCATTGCCATTAAGAATATACATAATATTGTCTGTTTGTTTGTCAAGTTATGTGTACATTGTTTTGGTATTGTAAAAAGTTCGTTTTTTTTTTTCCTGCATTTCGACAATGGTCTTCTGCAGATTCTTTCGTTCTTTGATACTTGTTTGTTTCTTCGAATAGGATGATAAAATGTATAATTTTATCAAAATAGTTACTGCACTTTTTGACGAAACTTGTATACCTCTCGATGACGATTAGTTAGGTTGCTTTTGTTATGTTTTGGTCTGCTTGTACTAATGATCATGTATATAATTGTTTTTGTATCATTTTGTTGTTGAAAAAAAAAGGGTGAAATTTTTGTGTGATGTATGATTGTGTAATGATAATAGGTGATATGATGTTCTTGTTATTGATATCTGGAAAAAAATTGTGTTTGTCATTTTGTGAAAGAGAGGGGTCAAAAGGCAAATTTGGAAAGTTGTCTGTTTTTCCAATTGAAGCAAATGGCTTATGTTTCATCTCTTTTTTTCTCTAACAACACATACTACTATCATATGTGGGTGCTGTGTAGATGTCATTTGTCAATGGTGTAAATTTTGACAGCAGTATGGGCATTAAATGGAATCACAAAATATATTGCTATTGTATGCAAATTATTTTATTTTTATTTTTTTTCCTGAAACGATAGAAATTTTATATAACTAAAAAATGGAAAAAAATAAAAATAAATTGAAAGATAGGACTAAAGGCTGAAAAGACTAGTATCCGAAGATCGCATAGAGTCTAACCTAGAAGAATATACTCACGATAACACCAAACAAGTAAACTACTAACTCCCAAACAAGAGATTCAAAAGATCCGAACAGAATAATACACGCTTACAATCGGGCTTACAGGGGTCAATGACCCAAATTCTTTTATCATTTCTGTTTATATATTAATGCTGAATGTTCTGATTGTATATGTCGGTGCTTCATAATCTCTTATGTGTTGAATTTTCAGTGCTTCGTAATCTCTTATGTGTTTTATAATTATAAAACATGTGATCAACTTAAACTACAAATATATTATATAAAAGTTCAGAACTTTTGTATTTGTTATCAGATTTTTATATATGATATATCAAATCGATTGTCTTATAACGAGTTTTGAATTGACATGTTTATTGCATATGTAAAATTACATTTCTAATAAAATTAAGTCTATATCAAATTAAGTTAAAAAAATAAAGCTATTTACCAATCAAATAAATCTACCTATTAAGTTCATGATATAATATGACTTAGAAATTATTAAGTGAAAATGTCATTTTAAATATAAATAATAATCTATGTTTGCAAGAATGATTTAAGATATGAAATAAAACTTCCTTTTAGTCGATGTAGATCTGTATTTCATTCATATCTTTTAGAATTTTTAAGATTATAAAACACTTGACTAACTTCAGTCATAACTATATTTAAAAGTTAATAAATTTTATATTTGTTATTATATTTTTATATGTAATATATCAAATAAATAATTTTATTTATCTGTGTTGTAAAATTAAGTCATATTTTATACTAAGTAAAGAATAATAAAAATTATATCAATTTGAAAAGGCATCTATAAATGCATTACATATAAATCAGAAAATTTTTATAATCTAAGACCAAAAAAAAAAAAAAAAGGTACAGCGAAAAAATATCATTTTAAATATAATATATATGTAAGTTATTTTAGGGTATTTGAAATTCAAATAAAAAGTACTTCTCTCTTACATTTTTTTTTTTAAGAATTTCAGTATAAATTTTTTAACCAACACATGTGTAATCACGAGTTATATGTGCAATATGAATATCAAATCGAATTTTTTCAAAAGATATTTAATGTAATACTAGTACAAATATCTTTGTATTACATGGGTGCTTGTTAACAAATTTATATTTAAAACTATACTTTTTTCAAAAAACTATATTATTATTATTTACATTTAAAAGACCCCAGTCACTTATACGACTTACTATCTTATATTATAATATTTTTTTTCACCACACTCCGAAATATATTAAGTTTCACACTGCCGGTTGGCAAGTTAACTTTTTACCCTCAAAGTGGGAAGACATTGTATAATGAATATGTGATTGTTATGTGGTCAATTTGTACAACCCTTCGTACTTTCATGATTGGAAAAGTTAAAATGCGAAGGTGTTGTACGATGGATATGCAATGAATGTGCGACAATTATGTTTTCTATTCGCGTAAGTTTCTGGTTTGAAAAAATTAAATTGTCTCTGTCGGTGTGAGAAAAACTTAATATATCTTTAGTGAAAAAAACTGTGCACCTTTCAAAATTTACTATATTGGTAACAATTGAATTCATTTACATATATAATTTTTTTTCAATTTTATATTATTATATATTATTTTTACTAATATTTCTATAGGTAAATTCAAAAAGTGACATCCTGAAGGAGAATTTGACCTGCAATTTTGAACCGTTGGATCACATTGGAGGGCTCAAAATCATTTACCAGTTTTAATCCTGACAAGATAGTAAAAGCTTTTAATTTTGGAAAAGGCATCATATAAATAAATATAAAAATTACTAGCATCTTAAAGGGCTCCATATAATTACTAGCTCCAATGCTCTGTCACGTTACTGCTAATAACAGCATGCAATGGCACAGTAAATAAATTATAAAACAATACCAACAAAATTATTGAATTAAATATTAATAACATAAAAAAATATAATAATTAGGGCAAGAGTCTAGTTGTCATTACTCATTACGCTCCCGAGATAATCAAAGGGTACCATATTTGTAGGATCATGCTTTTCCATGTCTCTACTCTTATGGAATCATTTCGTCCAGATTCGTAACCGTTAAATCATCATATAACTGTCGAGAATAGTTGATTTAACGGTTACAAATCCCGACATAATAGTTCCGTTACGGGACCGTAGTATTTTCCTATAAAATTACATAAAAATAAGCCAAGGGAATAATAAAAAAGCCTGAAATAAAATAACTTGAATTGAATTTCCAAATTAAAAAAATTGGTGTAATCACCACATTAACCAATTGATTTATCATAAATAAATAAAATGAAATAAAAGTCAGCATCTACACAACAAATTCCCCAGATTTACCTTATAACCAATAATCTAAACATAAACAAGCTCACACACACACACACACACACAAAGTAACAAGAACCAAAAATTAAAAAAAAAATAAAAA